TGGGTTCCTTTCTCTTTTATTTGCCAAACTTTCTTCACTGAGAACACGTCCCTTTTATATGTTTTATTTTAAAAGGTTTAGAGAGATTTTACTAACGTCCAGACCTCATACAGTTCCTTCATAGCTGCAAGCTTAGATTCAAACTTTTCCAGGCTCCAAGCGGTGGCGATGCCCAGCCGCAGGTTCCTCACCCGGACGCACGTGTCAGCGCCACTTCCCCCATCAGACGCATCTTGTCTGAAGGAAAAACCAGAGGAGATGCTCACTGAAAACACACACGCCCATCTATACTGAGAGTTTGCTGAATTAGAACAACTTCCGTAAACATTCAGCCCACTGATTAAATCTTTCCACAGTTAAGCATTTTTATTATAGTGAAAATCATGTCTAGTATATGCTATATTTTAAAACAACTTCTTACGTAAAAATTTATAAATCCAAAAAATTTTAATAAGGTATATTCCTTTTAAAATGTGAAATATTTATAACTTTTCAACTCAGAAGAAACCCAGTAAATCCCAAAGTATCTAAGGTAGTTGTGTTTCTAAAATCCAGGAGTGTGTTAATTGATGAAAGCCTTTCCCTGCACTCTGAGCTCTGAAAGGGTGTCTGCACGCGTCCTTGGGGGTTCTGACACCCACCTTCCCTAGGCAGGCACTGCAGAGTACCTGGTCTTTAAAGAAACTAAAACTAATAATAAAAAAAATAATAGGAAGGTCAACCACTTTCAAACAAAAAATTACTTCCCAATTAGGATAATCAATTACATACTCACCTGCCAAAAACATAGTATCTTTTACATTTGTTGCTGATGGCATTGGCTTCCTGAATCATCATTGAGAGTTTCATGGAGCTCCAATTTGTCTGGACTAATAGAGAACACACAGAGAAGATTCAAATACAAAACATATCAGTAGGCAGAACAATTCCTGAAAAAAAAAATCACTGAATTTAAATGAATGGCTTTAACTACATATTAGCGAAGATAAGGGAGATATTTGACTAACTTCTTCAATCCTCGTTGGTGAAATGAAATATTCTCATATAAAATGAGGTCTTACACCTGTGGAGGCACTAAAGCTAATTCAAGTTGACATAGAGAGGATACAAACTTTATAAGAGAGGAAACGCCAAAGACAATGCCTTTCCTTCTAATATCTTTAAAGATTCCCCCCTCCCAATTTCTAAAAGTGCACTACAGCCTTATTTACATAAAACCATAACCCTTTTTTATCTTGCCTGAAAATTTAAAATAGATATAGATATATCAGGACATAAAAAGGAAAACAATTTAATCCACAATTCCATTTTCCTAATTTAAATTTAAGACTTTATCATAAATATTTTCTATATTGTTCAGTCAAACTTATAACCAGTATTCCATTATAAACACTCTTTTTGAAAGGATAAAATTCATTACTCATATAAATTTTAAAAATCAAGTATTGATTACAAGATACTGTTTTAGGTCCTAAAAGAAGAGCGAATTTATAGATTAAAAAGGACTTTTAAAGGACATATACCCCAAGCACGATAGATATGTGGGTCACGCTTGCATCCTGATTCACATCAAATATTAAAAAGTATTTATCAAATAACTCAGGAAATTTGAATATGGCCTAGATATTTAATGAGTATAAGAAATTATTATTCATATTTTATATGCGATAAAACTACCATAACTATGCTTAAAGTGACAGAGAAAGAGAGTTCTTATCTAACGCAGAGACACACAGTGAAGTATTTACAGATCAAGTGATATGATGTCAGAGGTTTGCTCCAAAATATCCAGGGAGGCAGGGGGACTGAGTGTGGCCGAAACAAGACTGGACATGTGCTGATGATGGCCGAAGGGGGATGAGAACTGCATCAGGGTTTACAGTAGTAATCACTCTACTTTTATAGTTTGAAATTTCCCATCATGAAAAACAAAAAGGTTTACATTAAAAACATGCTGTGCTCTACACTGAAATGCAGGAATGTTCACAAAAAATAATGTCCAAATGAAAAGAAAACAAAGTACTCAGCGATGAATCACAGTCTAGATATAAGAATTAAGGATCAAATAACATGGGATTTTAAAAGACATGTTACACATTAACATAATACTATAAATAGCTAAATATTCTAAAAAGTGACTAGTCTAAAAACAATCACCCATGCAAATTTATTTAGGTCCAGAAAAGTTAGCAATACCTAGAATAAAACATTTTTAAAGCACGAAGTCCACTAACGCTGAGCTTTCAGGGTTATGTGAATAACGCACACAGCTTTGGAAAGTGCCGGCTAAAACCATCACACACTCACTTGTAAAAGTTTTATCTCTATTGCTCTGGCTTTGCTGCAGTGTTTGCACTTCTTTAGCAATTTTTTGTTTCTCGGCTTCCAAAGCTTCCAGAATTCTCGTATGGCGGATGCTGTGGTCTTCTAAAGCCTGAGTGGTTGAGTGGTATTCATTTAGACCCACACGTGAGACATGCAAAGAGAGAGGTTGTCAAGCCAGGTTGATAAAGGTGACACACCATAACCAAACCTCATTTCACAGTATGTGCTTTACTGAGCATAAAAAAGGCTTTCAGAAATGACTGACAAAGAATCTTCATAAAATCATTTTTCCCCACAACAAAATCATTCGGAATTTCTGATGACATAGATTAATCCTTTTCTTCCCATTGATAAGA